AAATACTAAATATTTAGATGTAATTTTTAAACGGTGATTAAAATCAGCTATATAAAAGTAAAAGCATGACAAAGTCAACCATAAACAAAGTAAAAAAACTTGGGGGGAAATACCTGCAGTAAAACAAGGGTAAGATAGCAGCCCTTCTAACATATATTTTAAACAAAGTTTTAAGTAAAAACAGAACAAAAATCCATTAGAAATTGGGGAAGTTATATGAACAGGTGATTCACAAATAAATATAATTGAACAAGTTATAAGCAGATGAAAGATGTTTGGTTTCACTCATAATGGCAAAACAAACTGAAATACTATTTCTCCACTCTCAGATGGTCAAGGCTGTGGAGGAAACAGTATCCTACATCACTGGCAGCTGTGCAAAATTTGGGGAGAACTTGGGAACCACCCTGAAATATATACAGGCACGTGCAGTGGCCAGTACCCCTGCACCCCAGTGGGCTGTACCACCCAGAGGTGTGTGGCTACACTTGCCACATTTCGTGCAATCACAACATCACCCAAAGGTGTATGCCTCAGCATGTACCCCATTGCTAAGTGACTTATGACTACTTCTACAGATGACCACACACTGAGCGCCTTGTGGCCACAGGAAAAAGCAAATGTGGGATCTCCGGGCCCAGGTTCTTGGCGATATCGGTAGGTTCCTATTTGCCAGCTAGGGGTAGGGCCAGGCAGGCTCTCACCAAGGGCAAAAGTCCTGGTAAGAGGAACATACTAGGAAACCAGAATCTGCTTCATGGTGATAATATGCATTGGCCACGGGGAACAGTAGGGCCCTCCCCCCAAGCAATGGCTCTGGTCAGCCACGAGCTCACATCCCCAATAACTGCTTCCCCCACACCTGAGGCCCCTACTTGCCTCACCTTTGTACTTGATGTTAATAAACGTGAGAGGCCTGTGATGGGGCTACACTTCGCTTCCTACTTCCAGGCTAGGCCTTTCACTGCTTTTCTAGGCTTTTCACTGCCCCTCCTGGACTTTGAGGAATCTCACTCCGCACCACTCCCACCGCTGTTGCCTTGGGGGCAACAAGCTCTATGAACTGCTAAGGGAATATTTTAATTAAAAAAAGCAAGGAGTAAAGGGCGTGCTTATGCTAACTTCTGTGAAAATTCATAAATGACTTGTTCTACAAAAGGAAACTCAGAAAGGGTAAATGGGAAGTGATCTCTAATGATTACTTACAGTGTAGAAGGAGGAAAAAACACTGATAGAATTAAGAATTATAAGTAGATCTTTTTAATAATTTAGAACTTTGAATCATATAACCAGTTTCCCTAAAGACTAAAGGAAAAATACCAAAACTGCATACAAACAGAAACGGATGAAGCTAACGGAGTATAAAATTGATAATATACACAGCACCAATTCTACCTCCAAAGAAATCCTGAATCTCACCTAGAAGGTTTCGGCTAGTAGTGGCTTGGATACAGTGCCTAGAAAATTATTTTGGATTATATACGTAGAACCTGTTGACTCTTCCTTGAAAATCTCTCCTTTTCCTCATTGCCACGTGGTACAAGTCGGCAGCTTTACCTGGACACTCCAGCAGCCTCTCCCCTGCCCCCTTCCTGGGCCCTGAGTCCTTTCAATACTCTTACCCTAAACCCTCTAGGGACTGTCCACTGCAGGCAGAGGAACATCTGTGCACACAGCTCCCCTCTCGGCTCTATTCCAGATCTTCTCACCCAGCACAGGTGCCTCAGGGACCTTGCATCTGCTGTTCCATGGGACCTAATACCTGGGCTCCTCCCTTCCAGTCATATGACAGCAGTGGTCACTGCTCAGGGACACCCTTCCTGACTAGCAAATGTTCTGCTCATACTCCCTTTTCTCTCCACCTCAGTGCCTCTGTTTTACTTTCTTCCTAGCACTGATCCCCTGCCATGACCTGGGTTTTTCCTTTACCTGTTCAGCATCTTTTTTCACATCTGCTGGTAAGCACATCTTGGGGCAGAAAGCAGATAGCACACAGAAGGTGCTCATTGGGTCAGTGAATGGACAACTCCAGGCAGCCCGTGGTCACTTGGTCAGCAGCTGGAGCCTAGCTTTGGGGAGTCCTACCACAGCTGGAAGCACAGCTTTGCCACTTTAAGGTCTTGAGACCTGGGACAAGTCCTGTCCCTTCTCTAAGCTTCTGTTACTTCTGCTGTGATTTGGGAACCCAGCCCCTGCCAGGCAGGTGAATCTTCCCAGGCACTTGAGCCCCTCATCACTCCTAGAAGCTCCCCATGATGAGCACAAGACAGGGTCAGGCCATACCCTTCCAGCCTTTCCTTTCCCAACATGAACACAGAAAGGAGGGAAGTGGGGGTCCCTGGCCGTTCTTGCTGTCAGGGAGTGAGGGACACACCCAGAATCTCCTGCGTACCCCACCAGTGCCTGCGGGCTCTCTCATAGTAGCACAGATGCTTCAATCACTCCCGCCCAGCCTCAGGGACGACACCTCCACCTCTTCCCTGTGACGAGTCCATGCTCCTCGAGGGCCCTCTAATCGCCCTGTCCGCAGGCCAGCCTGGCTGTTCCCATTTCATAGACGGCGAAACTGAGATTTAGTACGAGGTGGAGGGTTTGGATCCAGGCTGCGTTCCAGTCACCCGAGTGGCCGAAAAAGCTCGCTCTCCTCGCGCAGACTGGAGTGGCGGGGGGCGCACTGCGGAGCGGATCTTCCGCAACGGTGGCCCTGGGTGTGCCCTTCACCGGTCCCCCCACCCGCACCCCCGGGGCACACGCACCCCTCGGCACAGCCCCGCGGTCCGCAGCCCCCGCCGCGCCGCCAGGCCGGCCACGCGCACTGTCACCAGCGCGCGCACCTGTGCCCGGCTCGGGCCCGGGAGTCCCCGCTCCACGACCGGGACGCCCGTGCTTCGCGCCGGGTCTCCAGCTGTTAGCGACGCGTCCCCACCTCGTCGCCCCTGCATCCTGATCACCCGCCGCCCCTCCCCAGCGCCCCTTCCCCGCGCCTGCGCCCGCAGCGCGAGTGTCCTGCCGGCCGCGCCTCCACTCACCGGCTCCCGGCGCGCCTGGACTCTCGACTGGGCCCATCGACAGCGCCCGCCACGCCCGCAGTGCTCTCGGGGCGCTGCCAGCAGCCGGCGCGGTCGCCCGCAGCTCGCGCGGTTCACCGGTGCAGTCCCCCTTGCGCTCACGGCCAGCCCCGAAGCAGCGCGGCGCTGCGCCCCCTCGCGGTCGCACGGAGGAGCGCGGGGTGGAGGTGCTGGGGGCCCTGGCTGCAAGGTCCTCTTCCCGCTCCCTCCTGCCGCCTCCCCACACCCAGGGTGGCATTGCCCACCCAGCCTCTCTCTGCTCACCACCTCGGGGTCAAGGACGGGCGTCCAGCCCTGTGTTCAGGGCCCTCTGCTAGGACTCACCTTGCGCCCCAGAGGCGGGGTCTCACCCAAGCGTCACATGATGCCCTCCTAGAGTCTGTCTCCCGCAACCTAATTGCCCCTCTCTGGTCACCAACTCCCTTGTCTGTCAATTCCCTGACACTCTAAGATCAGTTCATCCTCCCCACACCCCTTTTTCAAGCCTGGGCTCTGGTGGCTTCTCTGGGCTCTCCTTTGTCATGGCTACTCAACTGTGATTTGTCTCTTCCCCTGAGTCATATTGGGCAGAGGGGCTGGAGGAGACTGCATATAATCCCCGTCCCCTTAGCCCTCTGCGGGGGAGGGAGAGATGGTAGGTAGGCCCAGGGACTAGCTCACCCTGAGGGTTGGGTCTGTCACCACGCTGAAGATCCTGGGTGCTCTTAACAGTGTCCTATTTTACTTTTAGACTAGCAAGGGGGCCTGAGCAGGATGCAGTGATCTTCCTCAGCTGACTTGGATGCTAAAAGATTCCTGGTCTGTCCCGGCACAGAGGTCAGAACATTTGTCCTCTGCTTTAGTCAGAGGCTGACTGGTGAGATGTGGCAGCTTAACCAGCTTAAGTTAAAATATTTTGGCCCATGAACTGTTAAAAGTCAAGGTATCTGCTCTCAGGGATAGTTTGATCCAGGTGCTTAAATCTTATGATTAGCAAGCCCCCTTGTGGCAAACCTGGCTTGCTGACACCCTCAGAAACCACTGGGGCTCCTGCTAGTTCCAAGAGTTCCCAGGGCTGCAGTGCTCAGTCTCCTTGGACTGAGGTTTCTCTGACCTGCGTATCGCCTCCCTGGAGTGGAGGTGAAACTGGCCCGGGCTAGCTAGCTCTGAGGCTGTAGCAGGATACTGCTCCAAGAGCTGCCTGAAGTCTATTTCCAGAAAACTGGACAAACATAAACAAGAGTCCAGCTAATGTTTTGCACGGAGAGCAGGCATCTGCCCGGGGTGTACAGTGTGGGTTGGCAGTGCTAGGTAAGGAGGCAGCAGGGCCTGAGGGTGATGCTTAGTTAGGGCCAATGCCAGGGGCCAGGTGGTGGTGAAGGGGAGAGGAAGAGAGACAGGCGGAGGGGCGTGTCACAGCACAGGGATGAGAATCGCATGGTGTGTGCTGGGCCGGTCCTGAGGCTGATGCATATTCTCAGTTCTTGCCCATGGCCCTCAGCTAAGGCCTGGGCCCCCCTTGGAGGAAAAGCACTCTGGTGCCCCTGACCTAGTGTAGTCGTATGGAGCAGCAGCACTCTCACCGCTGCCCCCTCTCCATAAGCAAAGCCTACAGGGCAACTGAGACAGTCGCTGCTGCGTGCAGGGTGTGATGGAGGCAGTGCTTGGCAGAACAGCTGAAACTTGAGGGTAGACTTACCTGTGGGTGAGGTAGGGCTATGCCCATGATGAAGGGAGAAGGCCCTGTCCTGAGGGCACTGTCATGCAGGCAGTCAGGGTTGTCCTGGGGGCACACATGTCAGGGACACCATGACAGGCAACTCCTGAATCAAGCATGGCATGTCATTCCCAGCCAGGATGAAAGTATTCGGGGGACATAGAAAGTATTTGTGGGTGCCATAGTTGGGCTCTGGCACTTTCCTGGCCCCTTTCTCAAGCCACCCAGGAGCATGCTGTCCAGCACTGCCCCACCCTAGTCTACCATTCGATCCAGTACATAGGCAGGGGCTATTTCTGGGGTGCCATGAGTGGGACAGGGGCGGAGCTGACCCTCACCCCACCCCATCCGGAGCCACCTGTCTGCTGGGTATATCCTGAGAGCCTAGGGGTGCTGGCCATGCTAGGTGCCAGCAAGCAGCACAGGGGGTCCACCCTTTTGCAGCCTGTAGCATAGAAAGGGGAAACTGAAAATAAGCATGCAATGATAACAATCATTTCAGAGTGCCAAGTGCCATAAAGTAACCAGTGTAGGGTGAGGTGACTGAATGTGGCCAGGGCTGCTCTAGGTGGGCGAACTTGGGAGAGGTTGAAGAATCAGTCTCGCTGGTCTCTGGGAAGAGCGTTCTGGCAGCAGGGGTAGTAGAGACAAAGGTCCTGTGGCCAATATGGCTTCAGGTCCTGGTGAGAAAGCAAGGAGGCCAGTGTGTCTGGAGAGGAGGAGGGGAAGAGACGCTGGCCCAGTGGCAGGATCAGCCCCGACTCTGTCAGCAGTATCCCAGCAGGACTCCAGGTGGACTGGTCCTCACCAGTGTGCTTAAGATTCAATTGCAGGCACATGCAAAAAGTTTAATAATGGGTTTATTTACAAGAGAAAAGGGAAATGAGTAACTCAGGGGAAGAGAGAGATAAGTTGATTAAGGCATCCTACCAGTTCCGCTGACCTGGAACCCCAATAACAACCTGAAAGCTGGTGAAGAGCAGAGACAAGCTGCCAGCCACGAGGCCAAGAGACCCCCAAGCCCACATGTCCAGTTTTATATCCAAACCTGGCTGCTTCACTCCACCCTCAGGCCCCAGCGAGCTTCTCTTTGGTATTGATGGGATTTGTAGTTCCGGTGTCTGGGGTGGGGGTGGAGTCCATGAGACCTGTAGAGTTCGTTCAGGACATCCTTTCCTGCTTACATTGGCACCGCCAAGGCCTTTCCCAGTGCCCCTGGGATTGTCTTATTGTTCATTGCTCAGATGGCACCTCCCTCATATATGTGACTCTGGGATGGCTAGGCTTGCTACCCCACAACTCAGACAACTCAGCACCAGGCTGCTGAGGCTGGGGCCTGTTCACATAGAAAGTGGCCCCTGAGCTGCTGCACTGAACGTGAACTTGAGGAAGGGGTGTCAGGCTGAAGACAGACTTCTGCAGTGGCAGGACTGCTGATGGAAAAGAAGAATGTGTGAGGAAGCAGAGGTGGCTGCAGGCTGGCAGGGTGGATGGGGAGTGTGTTGAGATGCATGGGTGTGGCTGCAGTGTCCGGTGTGGTAAAGAAAGAGAACTCAACTCTGTCTGGAGCAGGTAACTCAGGAAGGAGTAAGTAACTCCTGACCTCACTGTTAGGGACTTTCTGTGTTCCCACACATTTGTATTTTGAAATCCTAGCCCCCAAGGTAATGGTATTAGGGTGGGGCCAGGGGAGCCCTCATGATGGAAAGTGCCCTTATAAAAGGGGCCCTCTTTCCTCCCACCATGTGAGATGACAGCAGTCTGCAATTTGGAAGAGGGCCCTCGGGGCACCCCCAATGCCCGGCCTTCCTGCAGCGTCTCTGGATGCTCAGCTGACAGTCAGTGGGGTTGAGTTCTGTTTCTGAGCTGCTGTCTGTGCTGCTTCGTGGCTGTTTACAGACCAGGGCTCCTCCAACCACCCTGCTGACAGAGTCGGGGCTGATCCTGCCACTGGGCCAGTGTCTCTTCCCCTCCTCCTCTCCAGACACACTGGCCTCCTTGCTTTCTCACAAAGATCTGAAACCATACTGGCTATAGGGTCTTTGTCTCTGCTACCCCTGCTGCCAGAATGCTCTTCCCACAGACCGGTTGAGGCTGTGTGTGTGTTTCACTTAGGTGCTCAGTACATGTGTGAGGTACCTGTGTGTAATGTGTGTGTGTGGGAGGGGTTCAGCTTGGGTCTGATCCCCATCTGGGTCCCCCATCAGAAGGCTCCAAGTGGGGATAGGCTGAGGACAAAGGAAGAGAGGAATTACTAGTGGGGTCCCCTGAAAGTGCAGCCTGAGGCAGGGGTACAGGTGGTTTACGTGGGAGCCAGGGAGGAGCAGGAGTGAATGGGAAAGAAGGGATGGCTCATAAAGGGCACCCTGTTGGGGTGGTTGCCATGGTGGCCAAGAAGAGGGATGGTGGTGGGGGATAACTGTGCAGAAACACTTTATCCCTGCCCCCTTTACACCAGGCTGCTGCATGAAGGCTAAACGGATGTCATGTCTCAAGGAAGACAGCTAGCACCCAGACACAGAAGACCCAGGGATGCAGTTTAACAAACAACCCTGTGGTCACCTTGAACCCTCGGAAGAAGATACGGTCACAGCTGTATCCTGGGATGTTCGTTCCAGGGTAGAAAGGAGGGTGGACAAGCGTGGAGGGCAGGACAGCCATTCAGCATTGTCCCACGTGTGGGGCTGGTTTGCAGACAGGGTGGTGCTGGAGATGGAGAGAAGGGGACAGAACTGGGCTACGTTCTTGTAACAAAGTCATTCTTCACTCTGGAAACTTCTTTTCCTTAGTTGTCAACTAAATGGATTAAGTGGCTGTAGCCATAGAGAAGGATCTCCAGAGGCAGGGACTGAGTGTCCTACTTATGGGACAGAGGAGCCACACAGCTGCATTTGTCAAAAATGAATGATGAATGGCAGGCTGCTGGGTGAGGGGAAGGGGTGGGGAGAGAGTCCTGGAAGTAGGGTGCCTAGGGAAGCAGTGCTGTCCAGCTGAGGCATCACCAGGGTCCTGCAGAAGCATGAGCGGCCCTTTCTGTGAGTGACATGGTCCGATCTTTCAGTCTCTTATTTATGCCTCATCAGCTGATGCACTTCACACACAGACACACGTGTGCACACATGCACACACACATGCATACACAGTGGCTTAAGCTACTTGGGCCTCCATGTGGAAGTGGCTCCTGGATATTGGGTACTTGTTGTCTCCTCCTGGTCTTCCACTAATAAACCCTGCCACTCCTCCTCCTTTTCTGTTCAGAACTTTCTGAGCATTAAAAAAATAATAATAAAGCTACTTATTAAAACAGTTGAGTTGCTTCTGGAATAATTCATACAATGTTGGATTTAGTTGGGATGTATGAAAAGGGCATATAATCTGTCTTTATCCAATTTTGGACTCAAATTATAATAGCTTCCTACACTGAGCTGCTAAACAGCTTTGAAAATCTTAGATTAAGACAGGGTTTGTCCATTTTTTGAAAGTTTAGTAAAAACTGATGTACTACTGGTTTGTGCCGGAGTGGTTGGGGTGTTAGTGGTCATAATCCTTTCTCTGATGGTCTCTGCACCCCCCAACCCCTTTGGGAGGCAATAGAGAACACAGAATAACTAAGGGCATGGTCCTGGCACCTGTTATCTCAGAGCCTAGCAATGCACACTGGCTGTGGGCATTCATGCTCTCCTCCTGCCTGTTGCCCCAGTGTGAAGATGGAGATAGTAATACTGACCTCATAGGAACTGCTGAGAAGACTGAAGAAGTTCCTATGTATGATGTGCTCATCATTCTTTTTTTTTTTTTTTAAGATTTATTTTTTTATTCATACAGAATTGGGGTACAGGCCAGAGATGTGGAGGGTGATAGGATTCACCAAAGACAGAGTGGGGAGCAGAACAGGCAGATCGGCGAAGTACACTGCTGAGGGGAGCAGCGGGCGGGTCAGGAGAAGTCTGCCACGCCATGTGGTCACCTCCGGGGCAGGCGGAAATCGAACTCATGCGGAAGTGGCTTTAGATTCTCGATGCTGTGCTTTAACCCACTGCGCCACCAGGGAGGGCCAGTGCTCATCATTCTTAAGTAGCCCTTAGTCCTTTAGTTTCATAAATTTGTCTGCTTCTTGTAGATTATGTTAGTTGGAATATTTTGTTAGTGATTATTATGCTAGTTGAGTTTTTTTTTTTTTTTTGGTCCATTATCTCCTTGTCACATCTTGCAAATTATTTGTGTGCTCTTTTTCTTTTTGTTTTAAAAGATTTATTTTTTTGTGCATACTGAACTGGGGTACAGGCCGGAGGCTCAGGGGCGGCAAGAGGCTTCACCAGAGAGAGTGGGGAGCAGAACAGGCAAATCGACGAAGTACACTGCTGAGGGGAGCAGCGGATGCGTCAGGAGAGGTCTGGCTCGCCATGTGGTCACCTCTGGGGCAAGCGGGAATCGAACTCATGCAGAAGTGGCTTTAGCTTCTCAGTGCTGTGTTTTAACCCACTGCGCCACCAGGGAGGGCCTTTCTTTCTTTCTTAAAGATTTATTTATTTATGCATATGAGAACTGGGGTACAGGCCAGAGGTGCAGGGAGTGAGAGAATTCACCTGAATTGGGGAGCAGAACAGACTGAAATATACTGCTGAGGGACCAGCAGGCAAGACAGGAGAGGTCTGCTGTACCATATGGGTCACCTCCACCATGTGGGTCACCTCCCTGACAGGGATCAAACTCATGGTTCAGTGGCTATGGATTGCTTCAGTGCTGCACTTTAACCCTTTGCACCACCAGGGAGGGCCCTTTTTTTCTTTCTTAATGACCATTACCAGAAGTGTATCGTACTATCTTTTGGCTTTGCCTATTTTCTTGCTCATTTTTATTTTCTAGTTTCTTGTCCCTGCCCATATCAATAGTATCTTTATTTTATATGGATTTCCCTTATTGCTGTTGTGTCTGCTGAATTGAGCAATGAGCTCATTTAGAAACTTCTACCTTGTTATTAATAAATGTATTCAAGTCTCTGCAGGGTCCTACCAAATTTGGCATGTCCTGTGTATTTTTTTGTGATCACATGCTTTGAGGAATTTTAATAATTTTCCTTATGATTTCTTCTTCACCTAGATTTCTTATATTGTTTAACCCACCAGAAGCATAAGATCTTTTCAAATTTATTTTGAATTTGATTGCATTATCATAGAAGTATTGAATGTTATTAACTTTGGAATTTACTCTGTGGTCTGGTACACAGTCAATTTCCTTTTAAGTTCTATGTGTCATCAAAAGGAACATGACTGTTAGTTATTATATTCTCTATGAGCCCAAATTAAATGACTGTAGTATTCTAATCATCTCCACCCTTGCTCATTTTTCACTTGCAGACATGTCAGTTTCTGGAAGGAGTGAATTCAAATTTCTACTATACTTTTTGTTTCTCCCAGATACTATCAATCACCTTTCTCGCTCTCTAATGCAGATTCTTGAGTGGTTTTTCTGAAGACATATAAAACATTTACCCACATGAATGTTACTTATTATCAATACTACTAACATGCTCCCATTTGATGATTTATATGTGCTTATGCATATTGCATTTTTGTTTCATGAATGAGCTTATACACATTAAAAAACTGTTTGCTTATAAAAATCAACATACACATATGTGCCCACATGTACACATAGTTAAATTTAAAACAGGAAGCACATAGGAAGAAATGGAGAAAAAAGTCTGTTGTGGTGACCACAGCGGCATAAATGGTTTGTACGTGTGTGTGTGGGTGCCATGTGTGCAGGCAGAGATGAGGAGCCAAAGCGCAGGTGGTCAAACATTAAAACTTGGGGAATCTGGAAGAATGGAATATAGGAATTTTTGTAACTTTCCTGATAGTCTAATTTTTTCAAAATGAAATGTTAAAACTTAATGAAGTTGGTAAAAAAAAAAAAAAAGACTGGTAGGAATTACTCTGTCAGAGTTATGGCAATTTAAATTTGAGTATTTCAAAGAGAATTAATTGAAATACTCCTAAGTGAATGCCGAGAAAGTAAACCTTCTGTCCACCCTTCTGAGGCAAGCACTAAGCCAGTCCCTGACCTTGTATGCTGGCTGCTGATGGGAAAGAACAGGGACAGAACCTGTCTTTCAGCCGGAGCTCACCCAGGCTGCCTAGCTGGTGCCCGGATGATGGCAATGACAGCTAGGAGGGACACACGCTTCCCTAAGCCTCTGAAATTCTTGCTCATGCCAAGGGTGATCATTTGGGATTAACAGTGGAAGGGGCAAGCCCATGTGGACAACTTTCTAGCCACATGGAGAAAAACATGACTGAGAACACTGGACCAGCACTGCTTTAAGCCATGGGTCAGTGTTAGCACCACTGACAGTGGGTCAAAAAGATAAAACATCTGGATGCAAAGGACATGATACATGTAAATGTGTTGTAACCACTTGTGTTATAACCTATCCAGGAAACTGGACGCAGAGTCCAGTGGGTACCTGGGGAAGCAGCCCCAGGGTGAGGCAGGTATCCAGCGGCAAGAACCAGACACCAGGAATGCAGAGGTTTCAACCTGGTCCTGGCTGGATACAGTAGGACAGGACTTTGAGATATGTAGGTCCCAAGATTTGGGTATAATTCTGATGATAACATAGACAGGGACAGCTAGAGTAAGAAAAAAATTTTATAAAAATGTAGAATACGGTCTCACTTGGAAAGAAAATGAAAAAGCAGTGTCCACAGAAAACGATATCAAAGACATGTAATAATGTAGTAATAGTGACCATATCTAGGTGGTGGATGGGTTATGCTTAGCTTCTTATTCCTGGTGTATGTAGCTATGTGAGTGTATGTAGAAAGCAAGTGTGTGCACAGCATTTTCTTTTTAACCTGGAAAACATACATGTAGAGTGGTGGGGCAAAAGAAGTGGGAGAGACTGATGACATGGGATAGATGAGGTTGTTCCCAGAGGCGTCAGATGATGGCCACTGAGTCTGATGGGGCAGATGGCTTCCCTCAGGGCAGCAAGAAGTGAGAGTCTAAGATGGATGGAGGCTGAAGAGAAGATAGGGCAGCCTCGATCCCTTGAATACTGTTCCTCCGCCAAGCACATCTTTTAAGATTACTTGCGTATGCACATGAAGTTGAATGTTGCTGCTCAAATATTTATTTTAATAGCATCTTTAGCATAATTTGTTGCTTAAAAATACATAAGAAATCAACTTGAAAATGAACAGCTGTCCAAATATATTACCGACATTTTATGTGGCGCTATAGCTTGATTAAAATTAAATAAAAACAAAATAGCAGGACTACTATTTGTTGAAAATAGGTAAAGTATGCTCATGGTGAGCAAATTTCTGAAGTCACTGACTACAGTTCTGTAGTCAGGTCACACACAGGACAGCTGCTTGGTGTTAGGTGGAATGGACCTTTATGGAATCATGGCCACATAGACTTCAAAACACACCACTTCTTTATTCACAGAGAAACAACAGAAGGCTGGAACTGAATGATGATGATGTTGAGCTGAGAAGCCCTACTGAGGCAGGGACAAAGTGCTGGTCACCTGGGCTCAGTCACAGTGACTGCTGGGATGTACCTGAGGGCTCTGTCCTGCCATTCTAGGCTGTTGATCACCACTGGGATGGATTTTTTCAAAAGGCGCATTCATGCTCATAAAACTGACAGATGTCACAATTTTACAGAGGAAGAGGACAGTCAGTAAGATGACAGGATTAACTATCACATCACAAAACACATTAATTTTGATGGACTCTGGTTCTGAGTACAATGAGGCTGTTAAGGCCACCTGAGACTGCATTGATTAATGGGGGGCTTGTTTGGAGGTGTACTGCTCAGCCTGTATCTGGAACATCCTGTTTACTTCTGCACCACAGTAGTGAGGCTCTGGGTTGTGGGGAGGGGACTCAAGTGAGGGAAAGTTAGAAGAACTTTAAGTTTAACCGGTAGAAGGAAGGACAATTCTATGCTTACCTCTCCAACCAATGTTGTAAAGCCTGTTACATAAATATGGGTCATGTTTGCTCAAGTTCATCTAAAAGAAAAGTCTGGAACCCATGGTGGAAGCTGTGGGAGCCAGATTTTGTTCATTTGCAGAAAGTATTTGCTAATATCAAAGTTGAGAAAGTACACAAAAGCCAGTGGGAAGGGCACTCCTTTTATTACAACTATCTGAACAGGGGCTGAGTGTGCTCTTCAAGTGATTCCTGCCCTGGATGAGGTAGGAATGAAATAGAGAACTTCCCCCTCCATTCATATTACTATGAAATTTAAATGTGTAAGAGAGAATGAATTTTAAGTATGGCAAAAAAAGTCTAAGAAAGTCATAGGAAGGCTTTCTGAGAAAATATTAATGAAAGAATCAATAATTTAAAATAGGGATTTGAGTGAAAGATGAGAGTTCACTCCAAAGTTCAGCATGGAACTATTACTTCTTTGAAATGAAGAGGCATTGAATTATGCCTGTTTCCATGATCACCATAAGCTGGTAGCACCTACTTTTCAAACTTGCACCAATTTTCATATGGAAAGCATGATGAAAATGATCCATTTCACTGGAACTAAGCCCCTATAGTCTTTTTTTTTTTTTTTAGTATCAAACACTAATGCTGACCAAAAGTGAAGATGTCCTGCTTTACATCCAACATCTGTGTGAAAACCAATGTCAAAAAGCTGGTAAAGAGTAGAAAAGACCAGCACAGTCTCCTCTAAGCTCTGTTTCCCTTCAAGAACAGGAAAAATCTAGAAGCAGCTTTTAGAAAGGGGTTGTCACCATTGTATCTACCAGGGCCTGGAGCAGAGAGGGGGTTGTTTTCATCAGATTCTCAAAGGAATTTAAGACTACAATATGAATGAGATCATCACAGCTGCACCACAGCAGGTAGAGGGCAAACCTGCTCCCCTCCTGACCTGTGCTCCTCCGGAGTGACAAAACCCATTCTGGATTTTCCCATTCAACTCTAGAAAACCAGGCAGCAAAGGACAGTAGCTAAGACCCCTGCTCACAAAGACCCCTGAGCCTCAAAGCTTTGGTCTTTCAAATTGTGAAAGAGCATGTGGTCCCAGGCTTTGAGGCCAGAGCAGACAAGTTCCCAGTGGGTGAGAGCAGGAACTGAGGGAGGCTGTGGGTCCCTCTTAAATCATGGTCACATATGGCCTCACAGAAATGTGACTGGTCACTCTGTCATCATTATTACTGAGTTTGTTACCAATTTTCCTGATTAAAAACAAACAAAAAACTCAAATAGCTGCCTTATTGTCAAAGGTAACCCGAGGCTCAAATTCACACATGTATCCACACAATCTTCAGGACAACATTCCATTATTTTGAAGCATTGCCCTTCCTTCCACCAAATAATGTTACCTACCTACAGGTGCCGCTTCAGTCGATAAATAGAAAGTATTTCTGTACTGTTTAAATTGAAAGTGGGCCAAGAGTGAGAGAAATGTAGCCCAGACCAGTAGCAAAAGAAATGTTCTCCTTCCTTCTCCAGAGACCTTGAAAAATAATTGGATGCTCCTTTACTTAAGGTGTTTCTAGTCTTTTTAAACAGAGAAAAAGAAAGCAAGCCCTTGAGGGTGGGCCCTATGACTCCTGTGATTTTAAGTAGTGAACATCCTAAAGTAACCCCAAATCAGAAGCAAAATGAAAATGACTCATCTTGTGCACAAAACCATAACAGCACAAGTACCAGTAAAGTTTTAAGTAATATAAGGAAGGGTGGATTGGTGGATTCTCCTGGTTATACTGTATGAGAAATAATTACACCAGCACTCTGAATTTTCGATTTTGTACGTATTTGAAATTTGCAGAATAGTTTTCCGTGGGAGAAGTAACAACATTTGCCTTTCAATTTAAAAACATTTGCTCAGATTGACTGAAATGATGACACACCGACATCTACCCATGTACACGTTAAACCTGTAATCAGAGATGGTGATGTAGAAATATACAGTCAATTGTCACTTAGAGACACAAAAATTGGACATGCTATACACTTCTCTTTTAAAATGTATCTGTATTATTTTTACCAATCAAAACACACATAATATATTTTATTATAAAATATTAGGCAATGTTACTTTTGAGATATGCAATCTAAAATGTCACACCTGTATTTACTATCAGTATGAAACACCAGAGGAATTACATCAGATAGCGACCAGATGAACTCATAAATCATCACCACAACTTACACAGCATCAAATCTGGATTAAACTAGTATCCCAGTCGGTGTTTCAAATGTGGACTCTGGGAGTTAGTGAGGGGCTCTGCCAAGGGTTTTCTCCTTTCAGTACTGTGGCTTTTAGTTTCAGGTCCTAAAGACAAGAACAGGCCCTCCTTCTATCTCTGTGAGAAGCTCTGAGCAGCCTGTGGCCCCCAAGCTGCTGTCTGTCCTACTCTGACAGACTTTGTCTGCTCTCTGGAACCTGCACTTGAAATTAAGACTTGACATAGGGGGAGGGTATCATTTCCTTTTTGACTGGAAACTAAGCCAACAAACAAAACAAACCTAGTCAACTTCCAGGCTACTAATAAATTACCTGGCTTATAAAAATATGTGTCCAAAATAGTTACTTCCAGGGTTGTGTACAATATAAATTACAAAAATAAAATAGAAAAGATGAAAAAGTTGAGTACATTTTTCAAAACTTTATCTGACATCAGCATTGAAACCATCTGCATTGCACCAGGACCCTGGCATGTCTCGGCTCAGGAGGGAGGATCCTGAAGTGGGGTGAGGTATTTCTATGGAGCTTTGCTGTCTGCAGCCCTGAGGCCTGGCTAAGGTATACCTGATGGGAGGTGGTCTTGGCAGGAAACATGACCACACCATCACGGCAGGGGCCCTCTATGACAGTACAGAGGAATGAGCAAGCAGAAGGCCTATCTGTGGGGCACTGAGTTCCACTAAGGATGCTGTCTGGGGAAGGCGCTACATGCTTCCTCAGTATCCCTGGGCAGCACTTACATAAGCCTAGGACACATCATGCATTTTTAAAACACTCCCCATTCTTCTTTTTCCTTTCTAAAGGTAGTAGATTATGTATATTAATGAGAAAACCATTTGAAGATGTTTGTCTACCTATAGTGATAACTTGCTCTACTATACCACCAAGTCTCCAAAAGCCAAAATACCCCAAACCATGTAATAGGTGCTTGCGCCTCTATCCAAGTCAGTATTCCCACCTTGTACCTGAATGTGTCTAACCTCACATATAAAACCATTTCAATATTAATTTTGATCATCAAGGGTTCCAGTTTCCAGTGATAAGACCAACCAGTAAGATACAACTGGTGCAGAGAATCAGTTTCTAGGTAATTTTTATATTAACTTTCCTCTGAATGTTCTGCCTCAGAATACATTCCATAGAATATTGACCCAGTAACTTCCAAAATAATTCAACACAAGATATGAATCTATAACAGAATAAGCTCAAGGGGAAAGCATTATGAGCACAGGTAGCCAAAACAAGAACATCACACTCCATTTCTGCAGTGACATTTCAATACTCAGTATCTTAGTGAATTTGAATCACTTCCATATGTGTTCTTCTGAAAGTATCAATTTCAGGTGAGCAGTTTTAAATCAGAAAATATTCAATAATTAATTATTACTCTCCAGAATATTTCCCCATACCCCTCAAGGTGTTTTCCAAGAGTATGCATGGATCTCCTTTAGGAAAGAAAAGGCTTCCACAAAGTGGAAAACAAACTTGCTTCCTGCAATAGGCCAAAAGGGGAATTAATGTGGTTTCTTTTACAAAGAAAGAAAATCAGGTAAGAATGTAGTGTTGGAAAAGAGAAAGGTGCTTTGTTGTTAATCATGTATCTGACTTTAAAAGCCTTACATAAGGTAAGAAAGGACTGAGCCAGTCTGGTCTAAGGCAAGTGTGCACTTCGAAAGTGACTGGCGTCTGCTTTGGTGATCACTTTGTAGGATTCTGCTCTAACAGTAGTAATGGATCCAAGAACCGACCTCCCATCATATTATTGACACGTAGTGTCATGTGGCTAACAAAGAAGGAAAAGTTCAAGGTAGCATTTTACATAAATAAGTCTAGAAGATCAAGAAAAGAGATGGTAGATAAGATTTTAAATTATATATGTCTTCAACAGCATAAAAACAAAACTTAGAAATTTCATCATGCAGTAATGTTAAAAGGACAGTCATCTCAGTTTAGAGAAAACAAAGTCTTGATTTTAGCAGTGAAAATTCTCAGCCCAAAACATGACAAATTTAATAAAGTTGTATTTTTTTTTATTAAATAGATTTAATTATATTCCTTCTGAAATACAAAAGATAGAATAAATCATTCCATAGAAGAAGGTAAGGTATGGTATGATATTGGCCAATTAATACAGACATCTATTTTTTTCTGGACAGTCACCAAATTACTAAAGAGGATTAAGAGATAATTCTAGAAGCAGCAGTAGCTGGAAGATTATTTGGCATTTAAATACAGATTTCCAAGTACTAGACAGCATGAGCAAGCACTGTGGTTACATGCATATAAGTCCCAACAGTTACTGAGAATGAGAAATTGTTACACTATTACCGCAAGACTTAAAAAATAATTCCTCTATCTAATTGCTCACCTGAAATGATCCTGAACAAAATCTCTAAAAGTGTGACTTAACACTTCTTTCGTCAGATATAATCTGCTTTGTTTTATAATCTAAGCAGGCAATCCTATTAGAACTGAGTAGGGAGCAAGGCATCGTGTTTCGTACATGCAGAACATGGAGTTTTCTATTTGGTTCCATCAATTCCCAAGCATTTCCGGCCCACGGAAGCAAGAGTTCCTCCACTGATAACAAGCTTGTTATTTTTAACTTATCATCGACAACCTTCAAGGGGTCCTGTTGAGGCATCCAGACTGCTGTCTGTGTCTGAGGCCAGTGTCTGCTCAGTGGACATGGATGAAATGTCATTGATAGAGGACGATTGAGAAGGAGTGGCGTTGCTACTTACTGCTGCATCTGTGCTAAGAAAACCAAATATAATAAAATCTGAGGCATGACATAGCTGCAAATCCAGGCAGTGACACTTTAGACCTTTTCTCCACTCTGTCCTTTTGTGGTTTCCTGTCCTAGCTGGTAGCAGACACATGAAGTTAGCTGACTGTACATTCTGAACCTTCCCTGGAGTTTTTTTTTTTTTTTTTTTTAGGCTCTAAATCCCACAGTCTAGTGTCTTTCCCTGCAATATTCGCTTTTTCTTTGCAGTGGCTAACTATCACATATATGCTCATGGGTCATCATGTCAGCTACTTAAAAAATACCTGTTTTAAAAGATATGATAAGAAAATTGTTAAATATGCCATAAAACTACAAGTAGCACAAAAAAGGGCTATGCTCAAACATCAGATATTTTGAATATAATCATAAACACTTAGTCCAAGGAAAACAACATCAACCTATCAGGGGTTCCTTTCCAGTAAAAATACCTTCTGTATGCAAACAAATTTAAGACAAAAGAAAAAAAGGAGTGCTTTCATGTTTATTTATTTTTATAAATCCTGAAAAGTTCATTTTGTCCTTTTAAGGAAAATAAAAGGCTTCCTACTATACATATTTACGGATCATCTGAGCAAAAATAAAACAGTCAGGCGAGACCCAGAGGTCAGTGTCTACAGCCTTAGACTTGCATTTTGCTAACAAGCGCCTAAATTCATGTGGAAATTACTTAATATCTAGGTACATGACATGTCATGATGAACATACAATTCAAGAAAAAAAGTTAGCAGTGCAACTCACATTAGTCACCAGATATGTGAGCATGCCTCCAACTGATGGTGAGTGGGAAAAATATATACAAAAGATTTCATTTAGTAAACAGGTTGAGCCCTATAACAAATTGATACCATGTATGTTACACCTCAAATAATCATACAATTACCTGTTAGGCTTTTAGGTCAAGCAGAAAAATAGGAGAATTATTCCATTTTCTCAAAAGAAAATTAAAAATCCCATTTTACCTAGATTCACAACAATCTGAACTGGGGGGCGAGTCCTGAGGGCATGCATACTGAAAAGGGTCTCAATGTAATTTCCTCATCTATAAGTGGAGCTGATAGCAACTGTTGCAAGGATGAAACAAGAATCGTAATAATGCAGTTAACTTGGTGCTGACACATCAGTACCATTTCCTGCCACCATCAGAACAAACCCAAAACGGGACATTTCACATGGGCTTTTCAAATTCCCATGTTGGTCAAGTTGGGATTGAACATACTGCAGCTACTTATGAAAGCTGAGAGGGAATGAAAAATACTACACAATTATGATATTAAAGCAATCACTAACCTGAAGATTGATCTTTTCCAACACCATTCTTATTTCTTTCTTCCCAATCCATTACTTCTTTGTAAATTAGCTCTTCAAACAGAAATTCAAGTTAAGATGCTACATCAGTTTCTTTGTATTGCTAAACCCTGCTTCCAAATCAATCTGAATGGTCCAAGAGCAACATGATGTTTTATTTTTAGCTGTGAGATACAGTTAACTCAGTAAAATAGTCTACCTACACCAAATACCCACATTTTCATCCATTCTCTCTTCAATTCAACTATTAAGGCAGCCAAAAATGTAGGATAGTTCTGAATCCGTAAGGGGGAGGGAGAAAGGTAAGGTGAGAGAGGGATAGAACCAACATGCAGAATGGTTCTCACAGACCATTCTGGGGGTTCTTATACCCCCAGCACATTTCTCCTTATCATGTTCTATGAGTGAATCAGCATTAACATGTGCACGTAGAAACCCCTAATTAATCCAAGTACCTCAATCTTTCCTTGGCTGCAATTTCAATTTTGATTTGTATGAAACACTACCTACTATGTAAGCTAATTAGGAGTTCCTAAAATTATATACTCATGGACAAAAATGAGTACATCGTAAGCATTTACTGAGGCTTATGAGACAGCCTCAGCCTGGGAGTGTGGCTGTGTGCAACTGCTTGCTAAGCATGTGCACACTTGGGACTGGCATCCTGCATCCTGAGGGAAAAGCTTTGGACAGGACATATCACTGCTTTGACTGCGGTGAGCATGGTTCTTAATTACTAGAGAGTCTACTTTTTAATGAAAAGGTATTAGTACTCAGCATTGCTTTAGTTTATTGTGGGCTGTTTGGCTAATCTTACAGTGATAATAATAATTATTTTTTATCTGTAATTTTCTTCAAACTATTTAAAAATACACATACAATTGCAAAGGTTATCAACACAGCAGCGGCTCAATGACTCTAGAGGGGCCCCCCATCTGCTGTACAGGGGTCTCTGAGTTGTGGTTCCTTAAGAATTTGCAACATGTTATGACAGTAAGTATGATATGATTACTGACAATTTATAAGCTAAGAATTGATAATGTTAAATCATGTGGAGAAGTTCTTTTTTCTTTTGAAGCAAATCTATGCAGTCCATACACGTTCCTCTCTAATTCTGTTCTTCAAATTTCTTCTGTTCTTTTACTGGGAGGTGGGAGACTCGCAGGACAAACAGGCTGCAGGGTCTTTTACCTCTTCCTTAGATAGGCCGCTCCATTACAGAATGTAGAAGATACTGATTTATAATGATGCAAAGCTAACACTTATATAGTACTATTATAATGCAGTGTGACTTCAATTTTAAAATGTCCTAAGTAAGGATCAAAATAAATTGTCTTTACCTTTCCATTCTTCAATTGCATGTTCTCTTTCTTCTAACTGGGCATCATAAATCTGTGGTGGTGGCTAAAAATTAAATTATATATAAAGTCAATAATTAAAAAAATAATGAGATATGAAGAAAAGGTAAAAGTAACTTGGATGGCTTCTATTTATGATATAGATATAGGTTCATTTAATACATGAACCCATACATGGCTATACATGGCCTATACCTATACAGGGCTTACTAAAGGTATTTTCTATCAGCTTCAGAATCTAATAAGAAAAACCAAATTAAAAAACAGGGCTGTTAGGGTCCTCTCAACAAACACATGACATCAAAACACTCTAAGAACATCTGTTCACATGTAACCACAAAATTTGCCAGACCTACCTTGACAACTGACGTAGAGCTAGGAAATACAGATGGGGCACAACAGAGTTGTGGCGTATAGTGCTTCCATTAGGACTAGGACTTCATTTGGTTCTCAAACCAACCCTAATGTAAATGGATTGTTCTAAAGATTTGCTTAAAAATCACATCTTATTTGGTGATGGGAAGCCCACGGGGATTACCACTGAATGGAAAAATGCACAACATGATGTAAAAATAAACTATTATATTATTTTTAAAAAATCACATCTTTATGTGATAAAATGCTTACAATCCACAGGCCAGGCATACGTGTGTCCCACTGCTGGCATGGGTGTGGGCACAGGCCTGCCACTGTGTGGTCACCTTACAGCTAAAGGGCAGCCGCACCAATGCCGCTATGGCAGAGTGCAGAGGAGCTCTAGGCTGAGAAGTGGACTTTCCCTAGCAGGTGTCTCTAGAGAAGAAGAAATAAACTTAGGCTTTTCAGCAAGTTCTTCAGCCTCTTTGGTTGGGGGCAGGGCATAAATAAGACAATGTAACCAAAGCCCAAGACAGTGTCAGGCATACAACGGATGGTCAGAAATCATGATATTGTGATCACATGTAAGAATCGGTATCAATGCAGACAATTATATCACCACAGCATAAGCATATGCACTCCTGAGACTCTAAGCTACAGTCCCCGTGGCAAAAGCAGTTGTGACCTATATATAAGACCCATGTCACATGGCCTTCTAATCTGGAGTTGTTTTAACTCTAGGACTTTCTTTCTGTAGCCTTTCTACTAACAAAAGTTCGAAGTATATGTAAGCCCTTCCTTGATAGATAAGTCTTTCAAACAGATGCTTACCGCTTCTGCTTCAGCAGGGTCATACCAAACAGTAATATAGGGGTGACGCAAAGCTTCATCTACAGAGATTCGCTTGTCAGGATCTATCACTAACATTTTTGATAACAAATCTCTGGCTTGACTTGCTAGAGTGAAAACAAATATTGGATTAATAAACTAATAATGGTCATTTGAAAAACATACAATAAAGAAAGAAATGTGGTAATGCAGACGAGGTTAACTTTGAGATGTATTAATTTTGAGAAAGCTTTGGTAGGTTCCAGATCAAAAGAGCCATTTTCTAAGAATAAGTCAAGTAGCCACTTTCACTAAACACAGGTTTTCAATCATAATTTTTTAGGCTCTGGCTCTGGGCAGAAAGGAGGAGAAACAGAGGCCTTGGGGAGATGGCAGGAGGGCATTAAAACAGCCTTAGTACTCAGACAAGAGCCTGAAGAGGGCTGCTGTGGCCAAGAGTAGTAGCTGAGCTAAGGGCGGCACTACCCAGAGTGAGAGTGCAGAGCACTACACAGACACCTCTGCTCAGCCCACCTGTACACAATGTTGGTAACATACACTTAAAAAATCTGCAGATCAGTATTTAGAAAATACCCAACAAGGCTCACCTAGTTAAAGTTCACATATATAGGTCAAGAAGAGATGGGGCTTTTCTGACTGACGCAGTGTACCTTGAAAAGGAGAGGAGCAAATGTGTTCTTTCCCTTAAACAATGACATTTTAGTGCTGGGCATACACAAGGAGAAAGAGTGTCATGTTTTACTGAATTACACAGTATGGTTTCTGACTCTTGGGCTAGGTTCTTCAAGTGTTTTCTTTTTTTTTATATTCCAACAAAACTTTTTAGACCTCCATTGCTGAAATTAACTTAACAGAATGATATGAATATTTTGATTTTGGCCAGACTTCAGTTAAAGCAACACTTCTAAGTCAGTAAGCTTTCTCTTCATGGGGCCTTCATTCCATCCTGACTTGAGGTTTCTCAGGGTTCGTGGGTTTTACAAAAATGAAAGCTTCACTCAGATTATGAAAACAAATAAGGAAAAAGGATATCTTACTTTTTATTTTGTCTCGTTCAGATTCTGATGGGAATATCCAATCTGGAAAGAGTTCTTCAAATTTTATTCCAGGATACTTTGGTCTGTTTTCTACATAATTCCTCACAGTTGGCTGAAGTTTCTTCATGAAATCAGCAGACGGTGTTCCCAGCTGCTCAATAACTTTATTCCACTGATCAATATCTAAAGAGTTTCTTGAGGAAAATACAACTGAAATGCCTTATATTTACACAAAGTACTACCATTCAAAGAAAATAGTAAGTTATATTTATACTAATTGACACATAACACCCTAGGTCACCCACTTGGTCAGCAGAAGTATTTTGAAATAATATTGCAAAATGCTCTGATTTCTAAGTTTAGATACTTTAAACAACTCATACACTACATTTTTAAAAGTTATGACCACAATTAAATCAACAAAATGAAGTCTGTATGCCTTCCTATTCTAGATAAAGATAAGACTATCTTGTAACTGAAGAATGAGAGGAATGTATAAACATGAAATTAGAGAAATGTTACATAGGCAAATTGAACTGTGGTGGTGGACTATGAATGCTTTGGTGGTGGGTGCACTATGGTAACTACACCTGGAGGGGGCTCTTACACTTCTAATACAACAATGAGAATGTAAGCCAACTTCACAATTAAAAAATCAGTTTTCAGGGCCCCCCCTGGTGGCGCAGCGGGTTAAAGCACTGCCCTGAGAAGCTAAAGCCACTTCCGCTTGAGTTAGATTCCTGCCTGCCCCGGAGGTGACCACATGGCGCGGCAGACCTCTCCCGACCTGCCCGCTGCTCCCCTCAGCAGCGCACTTCGTCGATCTGCCTGTTCTGCTCCCCACTCTGTCTGTGGTAAAGCCTCTCGCCGCCCCTGGGCCTCTGGCCTGCACCCCAGTTCTTTATGAACAAGTAAATAAATCTTTAAAAAAAATCAGTTTTCACATTAAACCTTTATTAGATTCAAAGTTCTTCATTTTAATTTTTTAGAAGACTTTATTCATTTTGTGTAGAAGACCTTGGGTGTAGGTCAGAGGTGTGGAGGTTGATTCACCAGAGATGGAGTGAGGAGCAGAACAGGCAGATCCACGAAGTACACTGCTGAGGGGAGCAGTGGGTGAAACACGAGAGGTCTCCTGCACCATGTGGGTCAGCTTCCTGGCCAGGGATTGAACAAGAGCCACTCTGGAGGGCCTTCATGGTTGTAGTGCTGACACTGAACACCCAGGCCACTAGGGAGGTCCTCAAAGCTCTTTATTTACTTTTTAAATTTTTTTAAAAAGATGTATTTATTCATACAGAACTAGGGTACAGACCAGGGTTGCAGAAGTAGTGAGAGGCTTCACCAGAGCAGAACAGGCAGACTGATGAAGTACACTGCTGAGGAGAGCAGTAAGTGAGACAGGAGAAGTCTGCTGCTCCAGTGGGTCACTTCCCTGGCCAGGGATGGAACTCTTGCTGTGGATAGCTCTACAGTGCTGTGCTTTAACCCACTGCACCACCAGGGAGGGCCCTCAAAGCTCTTTAAATGAAAGCGACTACCCAACTCTTAAGTATACAGGGGGAGAGCCAGTGCCCCAATGAGACAATGCCTAGCGGATGATGCAAGAGAGCAGGAAAGAGGACTCAGGATTTTCAGAATCTTCCCTTCAGCATTTCACACAGGGTCCCATGCCTTCCCATAATGGGGCTTAGGATGAGCAGTGATGGCTCTGAGAGGACATTCTGTTTTACTTGACAATGACCCTATCACTGCAACACCTTGGAGTGTTTTCTTTTTCTTTCAGGTCTAATGTAGTCCTTTGTGCCTTAAGACACTCACTGGGTATTGGGCTATCTCCCTTGGGTCTCACCTCCTTATTTGCAAAATGAAGACAATACTAGCTTTGCCTCTCTTATGGGGTGCTGGGGATAAAAAGTCACTCTAAAACTGTAACCAAGAATACACTGCACTTACAGTTTTTTCCCTTGTTAGTTACATTCTGCCTTCTACTAGAACTGTCTATCATCATTCAAACCTGATTTCTTTTTCCTCCTGTGCAAAAACTATACCATTTTCTTTTGGCTCCACATATGATGCTCTCAATTTCTTTACTCCCATTTGCAAACTAACTTAAAATAGCTGCCTATACATGTACATTTCCCAGCCCCTCATTATCTCTTAGACACCTCATCAGACTCCCCCATTCTCCATGAAAACTGCTGTTAAGGTTGTCAGTGGCCATCCCTTAATTCAGTGGTCAATTCTTGGTTCCCACCTTTCTAACAGGTCTTGGGAGCCTCCCTTGGTACTCTGTTTCTTGGCCTATAGGGCCCCTCATTCTCTGGGAGCAACACTTCGCTTCCTGTCACTGTTTCTCATTTTTCCACCACCTCAGGCAGATTCACCCCCTGTCCTTTGCTCTTTTCTCTCTCAGTGCTCACCACAGTATCAAGAGCTCTTCTCTGTCTCAGACCTCTTGAACTCGTTCATGATATTGCCGCTTGCAGACATCTCAAAATCCTAAAAGCTCTGTTAAGCAGCAACCTTCCAAGCAGTCACAGAGCTCAAGCCCTCTCCACTTGCATGTCCACTTTCCTAGCACAAGTCTACATCATCTCCCAGTCAAGACTGCAATAGCTCATGGTCTCTACACTTCTTCCCTTGCTCTGAATTGTCTACCTGCAGTTTAGTAGCTTAAACAATCCTTTTCCAAAAACAGGATGGGTGCTCAGTATCTACTGGATTTGCAGTAGAGTCACTTTTACAGACTACAGGAAGGTGGGAAAAGGAAGACAATCCCAACAAGCCTGGCTGACCTGGATGTGCATGACTCTTGTCACTTAACCACAGATTTGACTTACCCACCCTGACTCCTCAAGGAGGACTCCCTGCTACCACATGGGAGTCAGAACTTGGGTACCAGGTGGTTTGGCTAAAGCTTTCGCCAGAATTCCTTCTATCCTAGGTTACATAAAGCAAATCTCTGAGAAATTCTACCAGTTTTCTAGAATCTTTTTCTATCGCGATAATTTTTCATCTAATATTGGAAAAGTTGTGAAAACTTCTGGAAAATTTAATCTTAGAATGTGCTTTGAGAATGACAAAAGGTAACCTTGTATGCAAATCTATTAATTACTGACATTGTAAGCTGTCAATATGTAAAGTAGAATTTTTAAATTAGTAAAGTCTGAATTTTAAATTACTTAATGCACCAAAAAATACCCACATTTTTTGTTTTTGCATTTTCTGAAGAAACATTTCCTAATAAAAGAATGGTTAAGGTACAAAGTGAGTAAGAATTGAGACAAACTGAATGTTAACTAGATACTTTTAAATTACTTACTTTCAGAATATATCAATTTTCTTCATTTTAAATTAATTTATTTGCAAAATAAACACCTCATTTTAATTACTGTTTGAAGCAAGAGAATCTAAGGTAAGATTAGGGAATGCTAGAAAATTGATTCAAATGAAACAAAATGTTCCATATTTAATTCACATTAAAATCTGTGATGTGGAAAATGCAAAAGAAGATAATTAAAATGATAGGAATAAAAATTTTTACTCCAAGTTTATGTTGTGAAAAATTTATATTACAATAATATTTATATTACAAAAATATATATTACAATATATTACAAAAATACTCTCATAAAATAAAAACTAAATTATTTTAATAAAACAGCTTATTTCCTTTAAAAGTAACCATCAATTTGCCAACAGAGGCCATCTTAAGCTTTCAAAACAAAAAAAGCAAAAGGAAAGACTAATGAAAATACTAAGTGGCTAGAACACAAATGAAAAAGTTTAAATCAAGAACCCTATTAGAGTAAAAACTGTTAAAGATGGGGGAATATGAGGAAAGAAAGTTATAATTATTATTCTCCTTAATGCTATATATCATTAATATGATTCACTATACACATTGTAAGTTAATCACTTGCATTTAAAATTTATTTAGACTTCCTTGGCCTGTCACAAAGAACCTTCTAGATGAATCTCAGAAAACTTTCTACAAAATGTCAGGAGAGTAATAAAAAATAAAATTTAACAGATTGTATTCCTCACAAACTTCATTTTAATCTTTTTCACTTAGGTCTTATATGGTGTGTTTCAATTTTTACTTTGGGGGAAAATATTGTAATGCATTCTGATAACTAATAAAATCGCATATTAATTCAATTACATAAGAATTGGCTTATTAAATGTAGTTAGCAACTTTCCTAGTTAACTGAATGAACTAAATAAACAGTATGTTTATTTAAATATCTGAATACATCTGTAAAAGAGTAAATACTTTCTTATAAACTATTTGATAAAAGAGCTAATTGCTTTAACTTAATGCTAAGCCTTAATAAAATTATTGTGAAGTAAAAGAAAAAATATCAGACTGAACCATTTTGGTTTGTGACATTAATTTAACAAACCCCTCAGAACAAGGTCTAGAATGCCGAAGTTTTCCTTTTGAATTCCTGCTGCCTTTGGTATTTATGGAAAGCATGACCGGGAAGGTCCCGGGAAGGATACGATCAGTGCCTTGGAATATCACACAACCTTTCACCAGCTCTCCCATGATGCAACCCACTGACCAGATATCAACTGAAAATAAAATGAAATGATAAAATTATGAAGTGCCATGAACAAAACAAAGGTGAGAAAAAAGAATTCTAACAGAGCACTAAATACACAAATATGGAAAAATAAACTGCTAGCTAAGAGTGAACTTTTTATGTAGCATAAATGATTGCTGACCTCTGTGTTAGCCTTCAGTTTGCAGCAATCGGAGTTTCAATGATAAAGGTTCCTACTATTTGACAGCTTAAAATACAAACAAATCCAGAAACAAGAAGTGAAGTGCCTGTCCACACAAAGCTGTTTCCTGGCCACATGCCCTCCCCGTCCCAGCCTCCATGGTCAGTGCTAGGTCTCTCCCTGTGAAGGATACAGTCTCTTCCTGGAAACAGGACTTTGTGGAGGACCATTTCTGCCATGATGCACCCGACAGACCAGATGTCCACTACCAAACACCAGGTGATTAAAACCAGCCAAGACTCCACATGTCTCTTCTCAAACCCCCTCCCCCACAAAGATGAACCCCGCTTGCTGATGTGGGTATTGATGAAATATAGGTCCCGTAATGACTCTTCTCTAAACTGCCGAGTCAGCAGAGCTTCACAAGTGCAGGCTTGCTATATAGGCGCTGGCTGAAGCCTGGCTAAAACTGCCCCAACTCCCTAGCATTCCCCTTCTTCTGTGAGGCCCAGTATAAGCCCAGGCCTCAGACAGCCAGGCACAAGGCCAGATAATGCTATTGGTGGTGAGGGCAGGTAGGGAGATAACCAGGGGACTTATTTTCTCTTACTTCTACAGGGACAGTGGAACACACAGAACTGTATCTCTCTGAGAGGAATTACAAGTTACAGAGGAGCTACAGAAATCTGAAGCAAAACTCATTTCAGATGACTGAAATTTCAGACTTTTAAATAACTCATAAGTGTGATTTAGTTCTCTTCAACAATTTGCAAAGAGTTCTAATATTGCTAGAATAAGATTTGATGTCAAAAAAATCCCCCACCAATTTCACACAAAAGAGAAGAGGTGTTAGTCCATTTATAACAATTTCGAAAGTAAGTAACACCAACATATGTTGCTAGAAATCAGAGTAAGGATTTGCCTCGGGGGGCTGGGGGGGGGTGCTGGGATGTGGAGGGGCCAGGGAAGCCTTAGGTGTTTCTAATTACATGGGGGTGCTCCCACAGCGCTGCACATTCAGAATCTGTAGACTCTTTATGTTGTATTTCATAGATGCTCCCAACTATTTATTTCAAAAGTAAAAATTTAAAATGTAAATGATTTTAATCAATGGAAATGCAAAATTAATTATTTCTTATCTGTGGCTATGATAATCTATGTGTAGTATATAGAGTTCCAGCATTGTAGTTCACACAGTCATCAGGAAAGAGAACAATAATAGTGATGACCAATAATAGCATTATCTTAAAACATCTCAGTTGTGTTTGTACTCACCATTCTCTTTGTAGCCCATGCCCAGGATGACTTCAGGGGCCCGGTAATACCGCGTTACCACATAGGGAGTCATCATGAAGTTGGTGCATGCTGTCCGGGCCAGACCGAAGTCAAGGATCTTAAGAGTGCAGTCTGATTTTACGACAATGTTACTAGGTTTCAAATCCTAGGATGGAAATGGTTTAAATTAAGAAAACTAGCCATAGCATGCTAAATAAATACTCTCACATTGGTAAGGACTTGTGAGGTCAGTGGCCATCGAAGTATGCCAGACTACCGGTGAAAGAAAGTGAGAAGTGATTCAAGTTATCGGAACAATTTTAGAAAACCCTACCTTCAACTTGACACTAATACAAATTAACCTAAAGAGGTAAGGCAGTGGCTCTCACTACCATGTGGAAAACTTCGTGATTGTGTCTTTGTTTAAAAACCTTCAAAGAATGTCTTCACTGTCTCCTCCTCCCTCCACCGCTCTCCTCATCTTTCCACCCCACCTGCAGTCCCAAATACACCGACTCTTCTCTACAAGTCAACAAAAATATTATGTCAACCACATATGTAATTTATATCTTCTAGTAGCCACTTTAAAAAAAATAGAAACAGGTAAAATTAATATTACCACTTTAAAATGTAACCAACATAAAAAACTGTAGTATTTTGCATTCGTTTTTGGTATTGTCTTTGAAATGCAACTACAGCACATTGTGTGTGTTTACTAACCTCTTGTGGCTAGGGGGTGGCATACTTACAGCACAGAGCAGGAATTCTCTGAACCTGGAATCTTCCCTCAGCTCTCTCTCCTTGGAGGAATTTCTTGATCAGCAATCCCAATCCCCTCTCCACTTTTTCCGTTCTACCAGCCACACATGCCCGCGGTGAGGTTTGCCCCCCTCCCCTGCTATGAAGTTTTCCTGAGAGGAAAAGACCCTGGCTGTGCTCTCAGACAATCAGAAAATGTTTGCTGAGTGGACATCTATCTGCTCCATTGTAGTCTCAGTGCTTTCACACAACTTCAGCAGTCCCCCCAGGGCAACTCCTTCATTAGGCCACAGGAATCTGAATTTGCCTGAGGACGCTAATCTTCAAAGTAACCCTAAAACTGTGACTTCCGAACCACCCACATCCATTCTTTTCACAGAAGTATTCCGCTGGACAGCTGCAATATCCAAATGCCAAATCATGCCACACAATAGGACCTGTGCGTGAAGCCTTAGGTCTCACTTAGGCCTCATACTCCCGTCAGAGACAGTTATGAAGTATTATCAGAATAAACAGAAAATCATTTGACAATAACAAAAGTTAAAATTGTGTTTTACTACTGGGAAATGCTTTTGTTCTAAACTTCCTGGATTCAGTAATATATAAATTAGAAGTACATAATGTTTAAAATAACAAATGTTATTGATCAGTCACATAAACACACACTGAATTCTCAGTAGGCCTCACGATCCTAGCTGGATCCGGGGTACTGTGCAGATGCCACTCCCCTGGTATCCTGATGAGGAGATGTTCAGGGCCCGGAACTACTGCTGTGGGTGGTCCCTGGCCTGTAGCTACTACTCTGCACAAAGTAAAACTGGGGAAGATCAGCTCATACTCAAACTAGCAACTCTCTCCCCTGTGGAGGTGAGTTAAGGCAAAACCAACCAATGTGTTTTAAGTTTCCTCATTTAAAACCAAATAATACAGCAAGAACAGGCATTTTAAAACCAAATTACTAAAAGATAAACCAATGTTCCAACTTCACAAAAAAAAAAAAAAAAAAAAAAAAAAAAGAGAGAGAGAGAGAGAGAAGCTACGAGACTAGTAGGTGTGAGAGAACAGAATGGTGACATCCATGCTGGGGAGAAGCTGCAGCAGGCCCCCCTACTCTCCTCCAACCCCACTGGTGGAAACATCAATAGGTACTTTCCTTTTAGGAAGAAGAATTCTCAAAACTTTAGAAAGGCAGAAACTTTACCACCCAGCAGCTACTGAAATCCAATCTGGCCTTGGATTTTAGCACAGCCACATGAGCAAGGCTGGTTAACATTAACTGAGAGAATATGAAAACAGGTCCATTTAAAAGAAAATTGCTCTTGAACAGTTTTTGTTGAAACAACACAATTTACTGCCACCTAGTGGATATTATTATAATAATATGCAAACAGGGCCCTCCATTAATGGGAACAGCCTTTCATGTCCAGCACTATTATAGGAGGCTGTGGGCTCCTGCCGGTTCCCCAACACTTTACCATAAGTTTCCATAAACAACCAGAGGCTGGGTCAGTAGTTTCAAGATGATAAAAATCATTCTGCTCCCTCAAACCCTGAAAATTACCCACATCAAGGAAAATAAATGTTAAAACAAGAATGACACCTATTTGGGGGCATTAGAGTATGTATGGCATCCCTGGAGTAACAAACAATGAGTTGGAAACCATCAGTAACCAAAAAGGGCACGAGTGAAGGAATGGGGGGCTTAAAGTGTCATCCCATAAATCATCATTTCTGGTTAGTTCTTGGATCAGACATCTCTGACTGAAAAGCAGTCATAGGAGGCAGGATCCTGCACCCTGTGACAAGTATGAACTGCCTTGATTTCTCCATAGCTACCTAGAGCTATTTACTAGATGCCTGTACCCTGGGACTGGAGACTGAACAGACATTTGTAGGACCATTTAGTTCTCAGAGAATGTGGAAACTCCAAGACTCAAAGCATCATCAACTTTACCTACTTAGAAGGGGATCAGGTAGTAAACAGAGACTGATTTAGAACTCTTCCAACTATGTTTGGCATAGGCCTGAAACAAAACAGTGAAAGATGACTGTTGTCCATCCCTCTAAGCGTGAAGGGTTTCTGACTGGTATGGAGGAAGGCACTTACCAGGCCCATGGCCTTACTGACTTGCTCTAGAACTACTGCATCCAGCATGGGCAGGTGCAACCAGGACTACTAGTTGGTTAAACCTTACTATGCACCTTCTAGTTTCTTTAAGAACTGGACTAGAAAATTAAACTGAGCTGAGAGGGACCACAGTCCTTGCATTCTACAAGTCTTAATGATGGCACTACTCTTAATTCTTCCCAGCCCCGACAGTGCAGCTTGTGTTTGATTTATCATCTTGCCAGGGAAGTTTCAGCCACCCACTTGGCCTTTCCCAGCATAATGACTGTTACTTCATAGGCCAACAGCTAATGGGTAGGAGCAGTCCAACTGCCAAGTGTACCTGCTCCAAACAAATGGGGACTGGGGCAGTGACCACTGGCTGGGTCTAGCTGAGCCTCCCAGTGTTTCAGTCTTCAATAGGATTAAATGACAAGGGATTACCAGCTCTTTGTGGGAAAGTCTAATGAGAGGGAAAGATGAAAATTCACTTAAAAAGGAACTTGGGAGAAAAAAACAAGAGCAGAAGCAATAAAAAGCTTCGCAACAATTGTACTTCAGCAAGATCACAGTATTTATGCCACAAGAACAAATGTAATAAAAAGGAACTTTTGAGGACTAAAAAACTTCAACTAACTGGTATTTCAGGAAGAAAGAAAATAAAGCACACAGTGAAAGAGGGCATTCTGAAAGGAATACAAATTTCTTAGAATTCTATGAACATCTTCTAGGCTGAAGGGTGCATGAAGTACCCACCACAGATAAATAGAGCATTTCCATTGTTTGAGAATACAAAGAATAAAGAAAGTTTTTAAAGTTTCCAGAGATTAAAAACAATAACAATGACAACAAAACTCCCAATCAGGCACTTTCAATGACTGGCACTGAGAGTTGAAGAGTGTAATAGTGAGGTACTACAATTACAGCTCTGATGGAAATTCATTTGTAATTGAAAATTTCATATCCATCAAACTAATAATCATGTGACAGGGCAGAAAAAAAGAGCTTCAGATATTTGGGCCCTCAAAAATTTACCTCCCATACACCACTCCTGGAGAAGCTTTTGGAGGATGTATTCTACCCCAAAAAGGAAGTCACCTTAGAAAAAGAGATAGGATCAGGAAACAAGGTCTCCAACAAAATCTGGGATTTTGAAGAAAATCCCAGAAAAACATCCAGGACAATCCCTCCCCCACAATCTAATAGGGGGCAGCCAGTCCAGATGTGAGGAGGACTGAGGCACCAAGATTTCCTGATATTCTAGAGTACCTTGAAAGAAGAGTGAGGCACCCTGCCGAAAGTTTAGGGTTAAATGAGTAATAACAATACAGGAAATGACTAACTCCTTAAAAAATAAAACAGACCAAACCTCAAACAAATAAAAGTTAACTGTTGTTAGGTCCAGGGACAAAAAAAATTCAAAGAAATACAACCATGGCATAAAATATAAGGCAGCCATGAAAAGCTGGTACAAGTCATGATGATATAAAATACATACTGATACTGATGGAAACCTAATCACATTTTAACTATACTGGGAGGACAGGGAATAGGAAAGTCAGTGGGTAAAGACTGGGGCTGGGAAAGAGTTAAATCAGTACTTCACACTGATGATGGATGAACAAATAGAGATCTAATCATATTATTCCCAAATATGGAGTTAACACAAAAATGATCAGCTGAAATACATGAAAAAGTTCGCTTCTAGAGGGAGAAATAAGAGGAAGGAAGTGGGAACTCTTTTTTTTTTTTTTTACAAGTATTGGTAAACTGATCCTTTTAAAAAGTAAATCAATTAACTTGTTCAGCAAGTTACAGAACAATTAAGTTACAAGAGACCTAACTATAAACAGATATGTTGGTGTTAGCAAAAGAAAGAAGAGAATATGAGCATAAAGTAAGGAAGGAAGCCCATCCAACTGCCATCAAAGGGCTGGGGAACTCATTTCTTTTAAATTTTTGAATTATATAAAATAAAAAGTGGTGGCCCTCCCTGGTGGCGCAGCGGGTTAAAGCACTGCACTGAGAATCGAAAGCCGCTTCCGCATGAGTTCGATTCCCGCCTGCCCTGGGGGGTGTCCACATGGCGTGGCAGACCTCTCCTGACCTGCCCGCTGCTCCCCTCAGCAGTGTACTTCGTCCATCTGCCTGTTCTGCTCCCCACTCTGTCTCTGGTGAAGCCTCTCGCCGCCCCGAGCCTCTGGCCTGTACCCTAGTTCTGTATGCACAAATAAATAAATCTTTAAAAAAAAATAAAAATAAAAAAATAAAAATAAAAAGTGGATGGACTATGGGTATTTTTCAAGTAACAAAATTTATATTAAGTATGAAACCACTTTATTTAGTTTTTAAAGATTTATTTATTAATTCATCTAGAACTGGGGTACAGGCCAGAGGTGTAGGGGCAGTGAGCGGATTCACGAGAGACAGAGTAGGGAGCAGAACAGGCAGATGAATGAAGTACACTGCTGAGGGGAGCAGCGGGCGAGATAGGAGAGGTCGGTTGCGCCATGTGGGTCACATCCTGGTTGGGTATTGAACTCAGCCACAGCTAGCTTCTCAATGCTGTGCTTTCATCCCTTGTGCCACCAAGGAGGACCCATGAAACCATTTTAATAAGCAAAACTGACAGTGTGTTTCTGTGTTGAAGTCATACAAAGGAAAATGGACTAGGGGGGTTGACAAAAGACTAAAGATTTCAAGCCACTAAAGGCTTCATGCAATTCATCAACTACTGAGACCTAGATTGGGGGGGCTGAAGGTAGGTAGGGTATCAGAAAAACAAGGTCTTTCATTATTTGCTTTATCTACCTTCCCATAATGGGCATGGGATACCTTCACAGCAAGCACAAAGCCTTCTTGGCAGGCCCACAATTGCTCAAACAGGAGGGTACAAGGTATGTGGGAGTGGTGAAGCCCAGTAAGGTAATGAAAAGAATAGACAGGTAGTTCAGGGAGTTATTTACTCAGATCTTCCCAGATCTTCAAACACTGCGCTGGGTTAAAAAAACACTTCTCTGGACCCCCTCTTAACTTACTGGTAAGCAGAAGGGGCACAAACTGCAGGGATTAAAGAGACCACAGGCCCAGCTCCATGCCCTCCAGAAACAGGGGGGTATTGTTTTCCCAAAGGTCTCTGGGCCCAAGAGGGGAGGAACAAGTAAGGCAAATGATTAACCCTTTATAGAATGAATCAGGACTAGCAATAATAAGGCCTAATCAATTGGGAACTTACTCTGAAACATAAATTTAAAACAAAACATATTTAAGAACTACTAATGCTTTAATTTATATAAAGATCTATGGAAGTTTTAGGAAGAAAAATAGAATGGTGTGTTGGGAAATCTTTAGTTTCAATTTAAGAAACTACTATCATCAATATTTTAGCACAAATTTGTCAACAGAATTTCTATTATTTAACTAAACACTTGGTGGCAGCAAAGCTGTATTTTAAATAACTGCACATTGGTCAGGAACCAGGTGTCGGTGCGCCAGGCCCTGGACTTGCAAGCAATTTCTCAGCAGTATTATACTGGGCAGCTGGCATACATGTGGGTCGTGTGGCTAGTACATGCTCAGTCAAACCAGGTGCTCCACCAGTGTCATCTAATCTCAACATTACTTGGAAACATAGCATAGACTCATAGTTTGTTCAACTCTGAAAAGTTTTTTTTAATGTTTTAAAAGGATCTAAAGTCCTTTTAGATCTGGAGAATTAGCACAACAAAACTGTGATTTTAAAAACAAAATTGATATGGTGTCACTACTTACTCTATGAATTATGCCAGCTGAATGCAGATGTTTAATACCACAAAGCATCTGGTAAAGAAGGTAGGACATTCTTTCATGGTCCAACTCCATATGAATAACCTGACATAAGTTAGCATCCATTAACTCCATAACCAAATACCTGAGGAAAAATAAAGATCAGCCACATAAACACAAAAATTATTCAAAATCTCTACATGATTACTAAACCAGAACTTTTATGAAACTAATAGTTCCCTATGTAGTCAGTGTACTGGCTAAAGTAAAAATAAAACTTGCTTCCTCTAAATATTTATAGGGTATCTTGACAAAAAAAAAAAAAATACAATGGAACTTTGTGAAATTTTTCCAAAGAATATAAAAACAAAGAATGTTTTTCAAGTGAAAAAGAAAGCAAAATTTATGTCACAGTAAATAGTATCTTTTTTAAAAAAGATTTACTTATTTATGCTTACAGAACTGGGGTACAGGCCAGAGATGTGGAGGGTGAGAGGATTCACCAGAGTGGGGAGCAGAACAGGCAGATCGATGAAGTACACTGCTGAGGGGAGCAGCGGGCGGGTCAGGAGAGGTCTGCCAGCCATGTGGGTCAGCTCCCTGGCCGGGGATCCAACTTGTGCCACAGTGGCTCGGAGAGCTTCATAATGTGGTGCTTTAACCACTGCGCCACCAGGAAGGGTCCATAAATAGAATCTTACATATTTAATTTCTCCTTTATCTTAAATTTTTGCTATTGGATCACTTACCAGTCAGTATATAAACTTATTTATCTCATTTTAAGAAAACTTCTCGCCATACTCACTACTGACCCAAGTTTACTGCCTTTGCAAGCAAAATTCTCAAGAGGTATCTATATCCATCCCAAATTCTCTGGTTTTCCTCATCAAAATCCCTTAGAGCCCTTTAACCCTTTCTCTTCCCTCCCTTAACCTCAGAAACCTTTTGTTCAGTGTATTAGTGCCTGCTCACTTTTATAAATACTGTGCTTTATTGAATTGCTCATTATGTGAACATACAATCTCTTTGTCTTTCTAATTTATTTTACTGCATATAATTAACTTGAATGTCTTGCATTTTGCTGTAAACTGCAATATTTCATCTTTTCATTTTTTCTTAACTCTACCTTGATTAAGCTTTTGCTACCACCACTATGCCTGAAACCATCCTCTTATATTCCTGGCTGATTATGCCCTTCTCCCCTCTCCAACATTTTAATGTTGGTGCACAGAGCACCTGGTCCTTGGCTTTCTCCTCTTTAACTACACTCACATTCTTGGGGACAATCTCTGGTCTCAAGGCTTTAAATACCCCTCATACCATCTTCGAAATGTGTAGCTTCAAATCTCTTTCCTGAACCCCAGGATCATTTACCTAATTGTCCACTTCACAGTTCCAAGTGGATATTCAACAGACATCTTGCAGTTCATGTCAAAGACTGAACTCCCAATTCTACACCACCTCCAATCTGTAGTCCCCCCAGCATTCCTCATTTGAGTTGAGAACACTTTTATCCTTTAGATGCCTAGGCCAGAAGTCTAGGTAACTTTCTTAATACCTCTCATTCTCTCACTATATGTCTTCGGTAACAGGAAGGACTGCAACTCTACCTTCAAAACAATTTCAGTATCCCATCACTTGTCTTTACCCTATTACTTCACTTGTCTAAATAGAGCCAACTTAATATCTCATCTGAATTGTTTTAACAGCTTCCCAACTGGCCTTCTGTGCCCCACCCCTTACGGTGGGCTCTCAACACAGAAACCAGAGGTATCAATTAAAAATGTAAGTTGGGGCCCTCCCTGGTGGCGCAGCGGGTTAAAGCACAGCACTAAAGAAGTCAAAGCCACTTCCGCATGAGTTCGATCCCCGCCTGCCCCGGAGGTGACCACATGGCGTGGCAGACCTCTCCTGACCCGCCCGCTGCTCCCCTCAGCAGT